CCTTCCTCCGATTTTACATTGTTTAATAATAATATTATTATAGGTTGTTGTTTTTTTTCATCAAGTGGTAAATACTACCATTGCATTATTTTTCAAAACAAAACTAGTCCTTCACAAAAGAAATTCTACTTTCTTCTTCCCTTCTTCTTCTGCACATCCTTCCTCCTAATTGTACATTGTTCAACTATAAATTACAAGACGCCTTTACGCGCTGGCGGTAATGGAAAAACCCATAAAACCCCTCCCAATAAAGTTGGGTCCCACATAATTACCTGCTTGGAGGTGAGCAAGTCCGAAAACCTTTTCAACTTTTTTACTTGAACTCTAACCTGTGCCTCGGATTGTTTCGTTTGTTTGTTTGTTTGTTTGTTGTTTATTTGATTGTTTTTTCAAGGAAGGGGAGGGTATTTTTAATCGTGTGTATATCTTTAAGCTTTTTTAAAATATTTGTGTAAGTTTCTCTTTGTGTTGATATTTTTTAAAATCTACATTTACAATTTGACTTTCTGCCTGACCATTTTTATGTTTCTATTTTTAAGTCAGCATCTGTGGGTCTGTTTTTATTTTTTTTTTATTTTTTGTATCCTTTGTATTCACACGATGATTACTTTCTAAAAAAAGGGGGGGAACTAAAATATATTCTATGTCTGCTTCCATCTGCTTGACGGTACTTGATTTTCAGTGCATAATTCACCGTTTAATATTTTGGTTAAAGATTAGATGCAAATGCAGTTGCTCTTTTGTGAACCCCCGGCTCCTCTATACCCTGTCAACATTCACCCATCTTTTGCCCTATTCATTTCATTCAAACCTCAACAATTCTCGCGGAATATTTCCAGCGGGCTTCAATCCAGGTACGAGAATTTATTGATGAATGGAAACGTAAAAACGGATTTTTTTTTTTTATGAAGATGTGTTTGTGCCCACCATCGTCAGAATTTAAATCATTTAACCCTATCCATACATCGTGTTTTACTATCGTATCCATACGACGAGGGGAACTCTGTGCCACCACTTTCCAAAGAGAAATTTACTCGTTCATCCGATCCGTACGCTTTGCATAGTAGATCTTGTCTGTCAAAATGATTTTTTGAGAAATACTGAAAGTTTCAAAGAGATCTTCACACTAGAAGTATTCTAAAAATGAAGAGTACAACCCTGGGGGTACAAAATTATCCCAGGGCGTACGGATAGGGTTAAGACGCGGCATTCGATCTGGCCTGTTAGGGCCAGTCGAGACAGAGAGGGATACAACGCCCCGACAGAAAGACTGAAATATTCAAAAAGAATTCTTTCCAAACAGGACTTGATCTCGGGTCTTCTGTGTGCTTTGTCGAGAAGCGCATACCGCTCCACTACATGAGGCTGGTAGATTGGGAAAGTAAAAAACAAAAACAAAAGTGGGTGGTTGGCGAGTGCTCTGGAGTGGTTTGCTTCTTCTTTCCTATCAAACATCTATCGTCTTTATTTCCTCTCCATCTTGTTTGTGTTTGTTACTCACTTGCTACACCTCTAATCTTCGGCACTTATGTGACCTTGCTGTGTTGCAAGTGCCGTAAGACACTTACGAAAACTAACTATCCGCTCTCTGATCATTCCATCTCAGGAAAGGCACAAAATATCGCGGAATTTCGACTGCATTCTTAAACAAAATTCAAACATCACACATTTAATTTTAAGTCTTCTCAGCTCATCCACCCTTGCCTGGCCGTTAACTAACTAACCAATTTCTCCTCGACAATGGGTGACTTACTGTCTTAGTAGACAATTTCCACTGCTTTTTTAACAAAATTCAAACATCACCCATTTAAGTCTTCCCAGCCTATCCAGCAAATATCGTGTAGTAGAGAATCTTTGCATCCACCCTTGTCCGGTCGGCTAACTAACTAACCAACCTACCAATTTCTCATCGACAATGGGTGATCGACCGTCTTAGTTAGTAGACAATTTCGACTGCATTCTTTAAGTAAAATTCAAACATCACACATTTAAGTCTTCCCAGCCCATCCACCAAAGATCGTGTAGTAGAGAATCTTTGCATCCACTCTTGCCCGGCTGACCTAACTAACTTAACTAATTTCTCCTCGACAAAGGGTGCTCGACCGTTTTAGTTAGAAGACGATTTCGACTGCATTCTTAAAACAGAATTCAAACATCACACATTTAAGTCTGCCCAGCCCACCCACCAAAGATCGTGTAGTGGGTGGTTGACGGGTGCTCTGGCGTGGTTTGCTTCTTCTTTCCTATCAAACGTCTATCGTCTTTATCTCCCCTCCTTTTTTGTGTCGGCTAACTAAATAATTTCTCCTCGACAATGGGAGATCGACCGTCTTAGTTAGTAGACAATTTCAACGGCATTCTTTAAATAAAATTCAAACATCACACTTTTAAGTCATCCCAGCCCATCCACCATATGACCTTATGCAGTTGCGAGCGCCGTAAAACACTTACCAAAAAAAATTTTAATCGTGTAGTAGAGAATCTTTGCATCCACCCTTGCCCGCCCGGCCGGCTAACTAACTAACTCTCCCACTAACTGTGTGGTCCGCACTCTGACAGAGCGTGAACTCACGTGGGATCCGAGCAATGGCCTGCACTCACCCATGCACGAGCCGCGACTCCTATAAACGTCAGTCTTCACCACGACCGGGATACTGGTTTTAGCACCCGAGAGACTCGAGAGTGTCTAAGATTAGGAGGGATTTCTTCCCCCGACCTTTTATTTTTACAGTTCTCACTACTTGTTTTGATTGGTTCTCGGCTGACTTTTTTTTTCCTTTTTTTTTTGGTCCCGTGCCCTGATTTTGGTGCTGACATTTGACGACGATGACGATGACGTTGATGATGGTAATGATGGTG